TGACCGCATGCGTCCGCGCCGGCGCGCGTGCGCACGCACACACGCACACTCACGCACACACACACATGCAAATGAGCACGCATCCATTTCAGCCTTGTTCACATGGCCTAGGGGTGAAACGGAGAACATGTGGATGTTCAGTCCGATTGTGGTTTCTCATCGGGGCTTTGCTCCCTCCGGTCATGTTAATTTCCAGTCAGATTTGACAGGTATTTTCGTGTCTTGGTTAGGAAACTGACATAGCGAGCCTTGCAGCCAAATTAATTCACGATGAAACCATCCACCCTGGTTGCTTTGCAAATGAGTGCTTTCGACACGATGAAACTGGAACAGCAATCTATCGTCGTAAGACAACATGGATTTAATGACTAAAATATCATAAGGCTGTCTTTTGTGCCGCCATGACGGTGATAAGTTTGGGTAGACTCACACTCACCTGATTTGGCTGAAGATGATGAAAGCTACGACTCCAGGTGATATTAGTTTCCTTGATGTAGACATATACAAATGATTAGTGCCTTTTCCAAGGCCTTTCGTGAAGTTTGCTGTTGCTATTCTTTGAGGATGAGTTTTAGAGGTACGACCATTATATTCACTCAGAAAATGGGGTACGATGGAAGATCCGAACATATGGGGAATGTCATTCCCGTCCCAATGGCAAAAATCGTGATCCCAACGGGGCCAAAAACACTCCATAATCATCTTTTACCCTATACCAATTTGGCTGAGCTGTATACGAAGAAACTTCAATGTTCCTTGCTTGTCTTGGGGCAGCAGGTACGAATGATGATTAGGGTGAAGATAGTTCTGCTTAATCGGAAACAGCAGTTGGTACACGGGACTAAACAGTACTCATCAAAGACTAGAATTCGTCGTATCTCACAATCAGAGAGCTGAACGGACACGACTGTGTAAAAAAAACACGTCATTCTAACGTGTGTGACAGCGATGGGGAGAGTGCAAGTGGACAGCAAATCCTTTAATCTTGCAAAGCGTTATTGGTAAAGGTAAAAACATTATGGAATAGGCCTGCTAATCTAGGATCTCCGTTTAAGCAGAAAAATCAACATTTGCGGCTCCAAAACGACTGTTTAAATCAGCAAATATGGTTCTGATCATGTAGTGATAAAAACATAATGGTACTCAACTCAAAGGACCAGTAGTTTCACTAGATCAAGCAATGATGTGCCCGAATATGTGTCTGAAATCCCAAAACTCGACGATAGTCAATGGAAAGGCGAAACAGGTCAATTTGAAAGATCGATTGCAGTTCTAGGTTCGCTTTGGTTCACTCAGTGATGGTCGTCAGGACTCAACTAACTGAGGACGAAATCCTATCTGATCAATTTACCATATCTCATGCAACAAAATTTGCTGATTCAGCGGGCAACGCCGTCTACCCGAAGAAGAACTTTGATAGACCCTCACAGCATCAATATTTTTCAGTTATTCAATTTTTTCACCCGGGTTACTCACGGATTTTGATCACCATCTTATAAGTATCAACTTTTGTATTCACAAGCATTTTCCAATGAGATTTCTGCACCGTAGTTAGGGTCAGTCTATACCGGACACCCGGGGAGCCGTGTTCCATCACTATTTGGGATCCTCAGCAAGGCGCGTCTCCCGAATAAGCCAGAGAAACTCGAAAACACGACCTGTCGGTTAGTAGCCGAAGACCAAGCCGTTTGGCCACGGGCGAGAGATCAGGATATAGCGGGACGCCACACACTTATCACTCCCTGATGTTTTGAACAAAGCACTGTCGTCGTAAGTTCTGATTGCGGTATCTGTCACTCGCTGGCCAAAAAGTTGTCAACCCTTTTCATTAAGAATATCTGTAGTCCTACGGAATCGTTGCAGAGTTTAGTCAAGTATCGTTTGAATGAGGTCTTAGAGGATTCAGACTGCATACCTGGTGACAAATTTCGTGAGAAAATCAGAACATCACAAATTGCGTCCATAGGAACATCTGTTGATTTTGAAGCAGGGTATCATCATCATCATCATCATCATCATCATCATCATCATCGACAGCATGACGTCAGTGTTCAACACCAATGCTTCGCTGCCGTAAAGCAGGGTATAGCATACAGCTGTTTGCTTTTGTTTAGTAGAGACTAGGATGCTTAACTTGCTAAAGACTGATTCACACCTTGCCATTTGGTTACTCTTGTGGAGTCAGAAGTCCGCTTGCTTACTTGCCAGTTCTCCGAAGACCCTCGAGTATATACGAAACAGAGGCCTCGAGGATTACTGACGCTGTGATAGTCCAGTTGGAGCCATTCAAGTTTCGAGGAGCGTCAAGGATTCGACTACCACTTGCACTGTCGGCAAGCTTCTGTGAACCAACTCAGATTACAATTTGTATGATTATTCAGCAAGCCGATGACCACTCTGTTTGAGCAGTAACCAAAATGCATTTCGCTCATAGACTAAATGCGCAGGACCACAATGAGGTTGAGCTTGATATGGGATGTAAGAGTGCAAATTTCTGTGGTCCGATTTAGCGGTGTTCAGGAGGCGAAGTTAGCCCCAATTACCCCCAGTAATTCGTATGTACGACGAAGTTATATGTCTTCCTTTTTTAATGTTTGTTCGGCAAAAGGTTTCTATAATCACGAATAGCTCCAACTCAGTTTGCAGGATTATTTTGTCACCACCAAAACAAACAAAAGTGCAAGGTGAGGGTGAGGGTTAAAAGGTATTTTTAGGCGTAATTCGAACAGAATATACTCCAAGATTGATTACCAGTTAAGTCGTAATTCTCAACGCAGGTGGGTGCGTAAATTTCAAGATTTAAATCTTCCTATCTATTAACCCCGATGACATTACAATATGTTTGAATTCTTGCACACCTCAAGTCCATTGCCTTTTTGACCTTGAATAATCCCTATCTTTTTATCATTGAGTTGTTACAACTCCCACAGTTTTGCAGAAGGTCTCAACGACTGGTGATCTCAAGCAGTTTTGAAACCATCCATCCTGGCAGCTTACTCATTTCCCACAGATTGTTACTTGCGAAGGGAGAGGCTTCTCCGCGAGGCAGTCACGTGAGTTATCAAAGACCACTCAGTTTATTGATCGGATCCAATACGAACGGTCGTGCTGAGTGGGCGAAAAATTTGGTCTGTTTGCACACCAAAATTTGGAGATTTGATTCGTGGATGGTGGGAATCCGTGTAGCCTGAAAACTTAGTAAAGTTCTTAAAAAGTGGTCTTTTCCAGACGTTGAAACAATGTCAACCAAGCGTATTGTGATGGAAACGGCGAAAATGGATATACTGCCTGATCCAGTTAGTTCGAACAAAATTTTCAGTGAATGCAGCTAATCCGAGTGCTTGTTTTGCGCAGTCTGTGTTTCACTGTTAATTCGAAAAAATGAACAAAGAAAGAAAAGGCGATTCCGTTTTGCTTCAGTTTTCGTTCTTTCAGGAGGATGACTCCGAGACAGTTGACCCTGATATTAAATTTAGTGCCAACGTTTTACAATTGTTCGGGCACTGGATTTTACGCGGAGATAACTTGTTTAATGTCAGCTATCTGAGCTCTTGGTTCTGTAGGATGCACTGTCGACTAGAAACTAAAGACCGGGTTATCATCTTCATCATGGCAGCAATATACCACTGATACCAACTGGTGTTTGACTAGCATACAACTATGGGGAGAAAAAGCCTTGAGGAAGAATGGAAAGAATATGGAAGCACAGGGCGAGCTCCGCGTTCTTAAAGAAGATCAAGGATTAGGTGCCCACACCTTTAAACAGCGTTAAAATAAACATATCTGAGCCTCATGTCAAAGTAAGGCTCAGTCAGCGAGACCAACCCCGTGTCCTTCACGAACCACACGCTGGGTGACTAGGCGACTCGTTCGATATCAACCTTTTGTGTAAAAGCATTGATAAATACTACTTGATGGGTGTGTGGAAGAGAGTGAAGTTATAGTGAAGAAATGGCCTGCAGATCTTTTGGCATGTCGAATGGAAAGTAACCGCATTTTCCGTTCAACCTGACGAGCATAAACATGTCTGTACGAAGTACGTACGTACCAATGCGCGTATCTGTCTGCCGGGGTGGAAATAAGGACAGGATTTCCTTTGAACAACACGACATCCCCCCGGATTCAGGAATTAACCCTCTCATCGTCATTCTGTGTTAAGCTCCCAGGATAATTGTACAGCAATTCGGAGTGTGCTCGTAGATCGCGTGTATTTGCTCCCCACGGTGAGTTTCTTTCCCGACACCCGAACATACATACATTTTTTTTTACCGTTGGCAGCATCCCCGTAACATTGGTTTCCTTGCTCATCACTGCCTCAGGTTCTTTCCGTTTGGTGAAAAATTCCTCACTTTTACTACTTTGCTTCATGCAAACTGCTACTTCTAGTGACGTGAATCCTACAATTTCTGGTGCCTCTGTTTTAACTCGGTTTGTATGTGAGAAGCGACAGACTTTCAGTGCATTCAAGCTCAAAATGAAGACGTGTACATTGTTTAGCTTGGTATGGTGACTCCTAAACCAAGAACGGAATGTAACAGTCTTAAGAACGTGAACAAGCACGGGGATGACTGACACGAACAAGGGATAAGCACACTCACCTGGCTAAGGGAGCTTGGAAGGATTGTAAGTGGCGCCAACGTTCACAACAGCGCCTTGTCACAACTCATTTCCAAAATGGAACCTAAGACAAGCGTTTTATGTGTAAAAGTGGTTGGTTAAATTTTCATAAAGGAAACTACTCATAAGGTTGCTGAAAACTCTTCGATAGGCCACGACCGGTTTCGCCCTTCTTTGAGCTCATCAGGTAGGCGCAGTCCCCGAGTTTCCGTCAACCTTATGTTATACTTGAAACTAAATTGGACTGTTTTCGAGAAATACGCTAATTTGCCAATCAATTTGGTTTTCACGAGAGACTCAACTGAATATGTCGTTTACCACATTCTTCAAGTGAGAATATTGAACCAACTAAAACACGAGGCGGTCTTTGTGCAGCACATTCAGTTGCAGGATATCATAAACAGAGATTTAGTTGCGTCTCCTGTGAAAACCAAACTGGTGTATTTATCGAAATCTGTTAAATTTGTGTTCAAGTGGAACATACTGTTGACGGAAACTCGAAAACTGCGCCTAGGTGGTGATCCCCAAGAGGAGCGAAATCTGTAGTGGGCTGTCGAGGAGTTTCCTTTATGAAAATACCAAGATATTTTAATGGGATAAAATTCTCCTGAACCTATCATTCATCAAATGAGGCCTTCCTCGGAAACGAGAGATTCAGCCGAGTCTCTCGTGAAAACCAAACTGGCTAAATGTTTCTTGAAAAGAGTCATTCCACACTGATGGATGAAAATTATTCACCCAAAAAGGGCAGTAACCTAGTGCTGAGTTCAAAGTGGCGCTCTGTTTGACCCGAGGAACAGCTGGTGATTTTCCGAAGTGACCTCAAATATCAAGAGATTTCAAAATATTCCACTCTTTCATAAGGATCTTTTGTAAAATGTCTTTGAACTGGGTTCGCTGAGAGGGAAGGGCTTTTTATAATGCCAGCACCCTGGATAGTGTCCGACGGAAGATAGCGTCACAAAAGAGGTCACTGTAGACAGATTGATCGTACAAACTTATCACCGGCTCCCAGTTTCCATTCGTGCCCCTCCCCCCTAATGCCAACGACCGCATATGCTTCCCTTGAAAATACCCGCATTTCCCAGTCGTTGTTTTCACCATCACTCGCATTTTCCCATTCTGCACTAGGTTTGATTTCGCTACATCACTCTAGAGAATCGTTAATGGAACCGGTTTTCCGATTTTCTATTCTCGTGGGGCTAGGAATGACAGACGTTACATGAACGATGCCTGGTGTGCTTTGGCAGGCTCCCATTCGACTCCCATTTTCACCCTACTCTTCCTTCAAATATTCGATCCGTCACTTCACCAAAAGACGAGTTCTTCATACACACACGCGCACAAACTTACGCCTCGATAGAAAATACAGACGTCACACTTGATTCAATGTGACAAATCTTTGTAGGTAACCCATGTGGACATTTGAGTTTATTTTCAATGGGATAAACGGGCTGTTGCAAAATGAAAACGGAGAATTTCGATCGTGTCAATGACAAAGGAGCACTAGGACTTAGAAAACTCAGTGAATGGACAATTCAAACGATATGGTTATCAACAAACGTAACTGCTTAATCGGCGTCTTTCTCAATAGAATACGATGTACTTCTGACAAAACCGTCCTCCCTACATCAGAAACTCAGAAAAATAATTAAGGATAGGTTGCTGAAAATTCCTCGACGTCCCGCGGACGGTTTCTCTTACACTTATGTTCTACTTGAACCCAAATTGGACTGACGATCCACAATATTATCATTCACACTAATATGATTTTGAAGACAAAAACAATTATTGATTCAACTAGATTCAGTTGCAAAAGAAAGGGATTGGTTCAAGCAGAACATTGGGTTGACAAAAAAACGTAACTGCTTAATCGGCGTCTTTCTCAATAGAATACGATGTACTTCTGACAAAACCGTCCTCCCTACATCAGAAACTCAGAAAAATAATTAAGGATAGGTTGCTGAAAATTCCTCGACGTCCCGCGGACGGTTTCTCTTACACTTATGTTCTACTTGAACCCAAATTGGACTGAACGATCCACATATTATCATTCACACTAATATGATTTTGAAGACAAAAACAATTATTGATTCAACTAGATTCAGTTGCAAAAGAAAGGGATTGGTTCAAGCAGAACATTGGGTTGACAAAAAAAACCCGCATACTGCGCCCACCTGATGAATCCCAGGAAGGGTGAAATCGGTCGTGTGGTGCTGAATAGTTTTCAGCAACCTTGGGCGAAAGTAAACGAGGGTTTCATTCGACACTTGTGTGAGAACATTTTATGGCAAGGAGAGACAACATCTGATATTGTACTATTACATAGAGACCCTAAAACATGACGAACCTGGAAAAGTAATTTTCCTGAAAACGGAAGTACTTTATGCTCCATACTACTTACGAGTAATAGAATGTGGATCAAACTATGAAAAAACCGGACTCCTGCCTCTACGTTATAGTTCGGCAGAGGCAAATCCCAAAAGCGGTGGTCACTAAAGCTCATTTGAATCAGTTCAAATGAACTTAGTACACCATTTGAGGTGCGGTGATTAGAAATGATTAGGTAAATTTTGGGGTAATTCACTACCTCATGAGCCTCAAATAAGGCCTCTGGAAACAGAAAAACCAGAGCTGTTCTCGGGCAAATGTTAGGAGTTACGTGGTCTAGACGGCCGCTTTGAACTTTGGTATTAGAGTTCCCCAGTGCAGATACTGAAGGCATGAGGTACACTATACTGGAGTTGGAAAGGGGTTGTAGGCACCTCGGTGAGCAAGACACGACAGTTGGTACACCGGATAATTTTGATGAATGATGCGAGTGACATTTTCTTTGTGTACTCTTTGAAAACTCGTCCCCGGTCGGGAGAATTTCCGTGTGTTCCGACGTCTAATTAAATCAGGCTGCGTAAACAGTGTCAAACAAAACAGAAAATTTACTGGTATCCAGCCTAAGCGATTCAGGCTTTGGGCTTGGCTAAAGATAGAAAGCGAGATAAGATGGTGTCTAAAATGGTGTAGCGCCCAAGAAAACTTTTACACGAATGTGTTTGGACTTTAAAAGCTAATCACGGTGATGCTGAGTCATGGGTTTGTACTAAGAGCTTCCTGATCAACGGTACGATAAGGATCTCTGACATCGGCCCACATTTCCTGCATGTCAGGCGTGAGTAAAACAAAACGGCCTGTTAAATGTGGCAAACGGCTTCCCAACCGATAACTGGGACATTTGGAGAACGAGTCACTAAACTCGAATCATCGCAGTAAAAGCTCCCGATACGAGCAATGGACAATCTTCTGTCAAAGAATCAACATTGTAGCGCTTCCAAAGAGAAGATACCATGGAAGAATGACATTCCGGTCTCCCTAGAGAGAATTCATAGTGTATTGTCCATTGCGTTGATATTTGAAATTCTCCACGTCTATCCTGTCCCTATTTGTAACCCCCGCTCCACTTTTGTGTTTAGCACGTGTTTGGCATTTGTTTGTCCTTCACTCATCAGGCCTTGAGGTCATCCAGCCATTTATGACCGACTTTATGCACGTGTGGCTGTCTCACGTGGATCCTGTTTGCTCATTTGGATCGCACTTCTGTAGTTTAAGTGGACCATTTGTTTTGGGCGAGTATCTACTGTCCGTGTCAGTATATTTCGATGTCACACTTTAATAGTAACGTATAGGAACCCAGCTCCGACTTTGTTTTGCCTTTCCACAGGTTCTGATAGTATGCGCCACTCGCAGATAACTTTTGCTCGTTACACATCGCAAACTTTGACTGATAGGGAGTGTTGATATGTCGCCTCCGGGAAACAGACTTTCTGGGGGGACAGTCTTCCGAAGGAATCACTCGATAGAATTCGTTAATTCGCACATCAATGTTTCAGCTGGATTTCCTGTTAAAACTATCCTTGAAAATGGAGGTTTTTCCGGGTGCCCTAAAGCACCGAAATTTTGGAGGCCGTGTAGCGACCCAGTCACCCACATACTTGACTGTTCAACTCAATCGCTCACTGAATCGCGAGGTTTGTCTATTTTCTCATACGCACACGTCGCATAAAGCTGACTCATCGGACATCGATTGTCTGCACCGCCTAGTCAGCGTAGCGACCACTCATGTACCGACGCGCCCACGAACACTCACTGGGACCTACATAAAGGGAAACCGAACCCAGTCAGGACACAGACTCGCGCGCGCGTAGGGAGCAGGACGCCCACCTCTCCACAAGTCCACGGAGAACCATGGAGTACGTGTAGCAGTCGAACTGCGGAGGAAAACACGTTCCCGCTGTCCGGACCTCCACCAAGGGACTCTCATATACGATAAGTTCCCTTTCTGACTTGTTCCCATTCTCGTACTGTATTTATTTTTATACGTGTCGCAGAAATACTAAAAACTTCTATTAGTGCACACATACACCTTCTGATTTGTATTATGGCCACCTGTGCACTAATAGCTGGTGAGTCCGACGTGACTTTTATTAGTGCATACATCTAATTTGTATTATGACTATCATCACCTGTGCACTAATAACCGCACCCTGTAAAGTTGATGTTAACTGTCAATAAGGTAACAATACGTGGAACAGAAATGCAGAATGTTTAATAAAACATCATCAATCTACAGACAATCTTTAGACAGGTGATCAAATATGAGATGCCCAAAAAAGAAGGCCTTGCGGGCTTGAATATACTGGATTTTCCTTGCACCCTTTCGGATGCGTTTTCAAAATTCTGGAAAAGTAATGATGAATTGTAGGGCATTGCGGTGGAAATGAACAAACGTACTAATAACACCGAATCTGTTCACAGGTGTTTGCATCGACCGAAAAGCACTGAATGATTGAATGAGTTATTGTCATTATTATGCCCAGCTACATATCCGTAGTGGGATGCAGCAAGCACACTTTTCAGCTGAGTTCGGTTTGCTTCCAAATCAACGTTCTCTAAAAGTTTCCTTCAGGCCATTACTGAGCGAGTGCAAAATCTGCTTAGACCAGTCAGGTCCTAGTATCATACAAAGAAGACTTCGAGGTTATTGAAGGCGTTTATCCTTAAATGCTAACTTGTGGTATTTTGGAAAGCATTTTTTCGTATTCAAACCCTCACAGATGCAGAAGAAGCTCATCTGCTTTAGTGAACAACCCGCTGCACGGATACCCCGTTCCATTATGCCTAAAACCTCTTCGACTTGACGTGGAGGTAGGGTGTGTCCGCGGCCACCATGCAGCAAAAAACTCAAGACGTTCTCAATGGCCACATTGTCAAGAGTGAGCATCAGTTCACCAAATTTCCACGTGAAAAGAGAAATCACCCGATTGCCAAGTGTCTGACTGTAAATCTCATCTCTACCATGAATGACCTTCACACTCCCACTGTTTTATCCCTTGTGATTCACTTCAACCTGTTTATTCCTGGTAAAAACAGCCTCTACACTCTGAACAGTTCTGACCAGTTTTCTCACACAGGAACCTCCATAAACTTCTTTCCATCCTAGTTGCACATCGAAATAAGTCGGATAAAACGGAGTCTTTGCAGTCTTTGTAGTGTATGACTAGAACAGCAAACTCGTATTCACTTAAACATCCAGCATTCCGAGCGTTCTGTCGTCAGCTCCAGCCTTCTAACGCGTCATTTTCGGATATTTTCGATACAGGGTTGCAAGACAATGCTAATGCACATCAAGGTAGGCTGGGGTTAGCGGGAAACTCAACTGAATCCCAGCTGGACCTCTTGCTCATGATATTCTTCGAATGGATATGCAGTCTTGTTTATGTAAATGAGATATTTGAAGTATCTTACGAAAACACACTACTCATGGGGTTGTTAAAACCTCTTGAAAATCCCGCGACTCGGTTCTCTCTCCTTGGAACCTGTAAGGTAGGTGAAGTCCCAGAGACTCCATCAATCCCAAGTTTCAATTGAACACCGGATTGTACGCAACCGGTGAGGTAAATCCATTTACAAGTTGGAAACTGGGAAACTCCGTCCATCTGATGAGGCCTAGGAAGAACCAAGGTAGTAGTGGTCTACTGAGACGTTCTCAGCCGCCACATGAGTGGTGTATTCTGCCCAGAAAAAGTTGACCTATTTTCTGCATTGTAAGTATTAGCAGGAAATGGCGTTCAAAAACTAAGCTATGCGGGTTGTAGAATCCGAAAAAATTGACCTTTATCATTAAAAAAGTGTTTTGGCCTTGACTCAGTGAGGTGACTTCACTGTTTACTCATCAGGATTCATTCGCTCACTCTGGCAACTAGGTTCCAAACATTTTCTAATCACCCAAAAGGGCGTCGTTACTGTGAGGTTTGGTGTGTAGTCCCTCCTGACCTGGTTGCGTTTATATACTACTTAAACAGTATCTGATATCTCCCGTCAGGTTTGACCAATTCAAGGATAACTTTCTCGTAATTTCATTAATTTCGGCGTAAGTATTCAGCTTATGACGTCAACTTGTTTCATCAAAATTGAGCGCAAAATTTTTCTAAGTTTAAATATGGTAATTAAAGGTCAAATATTGGAATAAACACAAACACATGAGAGTAAAGTGGCCAGTCCCAGGCCGAGCTAATGATTTGAGTCAATACATTTTGTAAATTTAATTTTCAGTTGACAAAACTTCACATAAAGTGAATCATTCCGGGTGGTTATTGTGCCGGAAAACTTTACATGACCACCATAGTTTCTGTCATGTTTCCCGTAGTAACGAAGGATGCAAGTCACGTTGACGGTTGTCAATGAAAACGAAAACTCAGAATTTGCAACAATGTGCGTAACTGAATGGGTGGGACGGAAAAAAGGATCCACGGCAAACTGCTATCCCGTTGCAGATGTCCAATAGCAAACTTTGGATAGGTGATCCCGAAAAATTACCTTAAGACGCTTTGCACGGCGTAACTGAATGGGTGGGACGGAAAAAAGGAGTCACGGCAAACTGCTATCCCGTTGCAAATGTTCAATAGCAAACTTTGGATAGGTAATCCCGAAAAATCACCTTAAGACGTTTTACTCGGTTTTTGATGAGTATCTGAATCAAGAATCTGGAGTCCAGAGGACTGTAAACTTTACGCGGGCGCAATCTTGAAATGGTTGTCCTGTCGTAGACGGGTTGCAACAAGGAAGATCCTTATAGATCAAAAGCATGAAAGCTTTGTCTGTGGGGTGAGCAAATATGATCAGTCCGTTGGAATTTCGTCACCACCCCATGACCAAATTCGTAATATTGGGGCTCATCCGGTAGGCGCTCCCTAGTTTCCGTTAACCGTATGTTCTATCTGAGCCCAAACTGTGCAGAATTCGGAAACCGCTTTGGTTCTAACTGCCAGTATGAGTCTCCCGTTGAATTATTATCGGCGTACAAATGAGCCTGGTTTGAGGATTTCGCAGAGTTTAAGTTCAAGTAGAACACAAGGTTAACGGAAACTCAGGAACTGCACCTACCTGATTGGCTCAAACAGGTAGGTTGAATTCGGGTGTGTGTACAAATGAGTCTGGTTCGCGAATTTCGCAGAGTTTAAGTTCAAGTAGAACACAAGGCTAACGGAAACTCGGGAACTGCACCTACCTAACTGGCTCAAACAGGAAGGTTGAAATCGGTCATGAGCTGTCAACAACCCTGTGTGAGCTGTTTCGTCCAAGAAAACGTACTGCGGGATCTCGAGTATCGTACCAGATGAAAATGAGGCGACCTTTGTGCAGCGGATTCAGTTGAAGAATATCATAAACGAGAGATTCAGCTGGGGTTCGGTTGATTCTCCCGTGAAGACGGAATTAGTGTGCACATGAGTGTAGTTTGCGTAAAAAGGTCGGTTTAGAAGATTCCAACGGGTACTTCCAAACAAGTGGAGCAGTTGTTATCACCACTGATTCTTGTAACTAGGCAGAAGGAGTGGTTATTTCCGGGGAACAGAACGCCGACTTAAACTCGATCCCCACTTCTAGGGTTGGTTCTTAATGCGAATAGACTTGCCCAGTTGAAAGCCTGTTCACGTCATACTAGACAAGGTGGTGGTCGGTGCAAACACTACATTTACACAAACAGCCGAACAAATCTGACTCACATGTTCAAACTGATGATACTCAGATTCCTTCAAGATACATCCAAATTTGGGACTTAGGCTCTAATGCGGAGTGAAACCGGGCCTACTTCGGCCGTTTACTTTGTGGCCGCAAACTTTGTTGCCAAAACCTGGCCATTTCTAACCGTTTGAAGTGTCTCAAGGATGCACCTGGTAGTCGCCCAATCCGTTACGATACTAGTGTTACCAAATTGTTTGTGGGTTTCGCGTAGCAATCTTCTCGTACGACGAAGCATACAATGTAAGGGAATTGCTTGGGGAACATTCACATCAGGACCTCGTCTGAAACAAAGTTTTTGGGGCTTTGTGAACTATAAGCTGAAAGTTTAGGATAAGAATAATATTAAGGTTATTCCGATGTATTTTTCGAAGTGGTCAATTTTAAATGGTAGACACACATAGGTGTAATCCATTCGGTTGTACTAATTACACGAAGCATAGGGTTTTGCCTGCGGTGCGGGAATATAAATCTCTCCGTGTAGCAGTCTGTCATCTCCGTCTCGTGAACTAACCTTCAGGGCGGTACGGAGCACAAATTTCTCGTCTTGTTGACGAGTATCAAACAGTGACCAGAATCTTCGGTAAGCCGCACAACTCCGGCTGCGTAATTACATTTGATCTCAACAACGAGAACTGTGCTTCACACTGCGTTACTTAACGACTTATTTATTTGCAGTGACACCTACAGTGGTGAGATAGATGGGTATATATACACAAACCCGTGCTAAAAATTTGCTGTGCACAATCTGGAAACCTACGTAGAGGTTAGTACCGTCGACAAAAGACCACGTGACTTAGCTCTGGGATAGGTCACAGGGTTGAAAAGTCTCAGGTTTTAGAGCAGTGCCGTGCAAAAACGATAAGGAACAATTGTCGATCAAAAAAGGCGACTAAAGCCGTGTGCACAAAAAGTGTTGATTCAATTGACTCCAACCTACTGTTTTGCTATGGAACCTGTTGTGGTACCAGGTTTTCACCCCTCTATGGTGTTTAGCTATACATAGAGAATGTTTTTGCTCTTGAGAATGAAGCTGCTAGCATCTCACAACTGGTGTTTGTATGACGTGGCGTAAAACGAACTGGTTGGACTTGCGTAAACACAACGACTCGAAGGTCATGTCACGTGTGATAAAGTTCAAACGGAGTGGGAAATCAAAATCCCCAGAAAGTACGAATCACGTGATTCACTGTGGTTCATAGACAGAAAACGGTCGATTAAAGGCCGAAATGCTACAGACAGTTTGAAATTTCTACAAGTAATTGGTAGTGCTTTACAACAAAACAACGATTCATCAATGATTAATGCCAGATAGAGTTAAGTAACAGATAGACTACACAAGCAGCGTAAAGTCCCGAAGAATATATTTCTTCTATTAAGGTACCACACTACCAGACATGTAATACTTTCGTATGCGTAAAAACCAATCACAACGATGAATTGCAAACAGATTCAATAATATTCCATGAATATGCTTGTCTAGAACTGTAAATAGCTTCAAATTATGCCGCTGAGGGTACCTGGTGATGACACCTCCAGATGTTCCTCGAAATCCCACTGTTCGGGGATCTAGAACACAACAGAGAGGACATCACACTGAACTGTTCCGGAAAGAAGTAATTCACGCAGATTAGTCAGCTGACATGTCAGTAACCTAAGATCACTTTGATAGACGATTGGTGACCTAAGACCTACCACAACAACAAGGCTGGTTTGCGACACGATGTCATTGTCTCCTGGCATTGTTTGGTCTAAATCCAAGGTGAGATTCTCGTTTCTCACCTGGGTGACCAGAACAGTTGGGTGAAACAGGAAGGCAGTAAGTGCACTGGAAAGTTGATAAATGTGCTATTCTTCTGTTTGGTAAATGACGATGAGGGGTTTGCGGTTATCAGGGGTATTTTGGAAGCGCTTCCGCAAACGAAAGGTGACTTCTTTTACGTTTCCCCATTACTGGAACCTACTCATCTCTTGGTATAGTACTTCTTTGGTAGACCAAGAGGGTTGCTTCCTCAGGTTAAACGGATTGGCTGAATTTAGATGTCTTCTGAGAATGGAAAGTCACAACAGTGACCTGCCGAAAAACTCGACAACAAGTGACTGATCAGGAGGGATTTCGTCAGCGTAACAGATTGCAGCCAACTAAAAGGTTGTTTCATTCATTCTTCTTACCATAAACCTACAAACATTCGTTATTTTTCTGGTTGAAATCCAAGGTGCTCAAGAGAGATATTTGAATGATAGCTAGATGATGATGGTCAAAATACCATGTGATAGCGTGAATTTTAACAGCTTAGGTAAGGGTAAACGGAAGGTAACATGCAGCAAGAATGAGGCTTCCGGACAAGACACAAGTGGCAAGTTTTTTGGTTGCACCCAGTGTTTAATATTTACTCAAGAACTGGATGAATGAAACCGATCGAACAATAAAAAAAATCGTTCAGCTGTAGCACCCTTTCAGTGTTTAACTGCCATGACACTTGAAAAAAAAGGACGAGGGCTGGGTTACTGCCCAGTTGCCCAAGCCTAGACAGGGGAGGTCGAGAGGCAGAGATCGGGGCCGAACCACCTACCTTTTGATCAGTAAATTCACGCTCTTACTACTGAGCCATCTCGCTCCACTCAAGCGATATATGCAAACTAATGTGATCAGGATACTGTCATTGAGACTCCAGAAAGGCCAACATCTACTGGATGTGGAAAGATCACTACATTCCAACATCTACTATATTTTTGAATAGGTGTTGTCTGGCCCAGTCGTCCAAATGGTAAAGCAGTTAACGGTTTGAGCATATCTGATGACAGAAACGATGATCATCCCTAGTCCAAAAGGTTACTCCGCCGACGAAGCTCGAAAAACACTGGTTTACGAATGGCTTCGAAGACATAAATGAGTAAGATGTGTAGATTGGTCAGAGGTCAAATGCCCGGTTTCGTGACCAATGCGGTTTCTGTCGGAGATGTTGGTCTTATTTCCCGCCCCACGATACCACCGCGAATGTATGCAGACAGTGCTCAAGGGTGCTTACTTCAGTGAACATTCCGAGGATGTGGTCAGATTTATTGCTTGTCTTTTATACAATGCAAATTTCTCTTGAATACCGAGTTACCGGTTGCGTGGTCAAATCCCGATGGTATCTGGAGTCGATAGCCGTCCGAATTTGATTGTATGTGGCCAGTTCATGGGAACTCAACAGTGACCTGAAAAAAATTTTCACTGTCTGTGAAAAGAGTGACTATGACCAAAGGTGGGATCAGTGCAATCGTGTGAGACTCCATCCAATTACTGTTTATGGAAACTGGATTATGTTTGCGCATCCTCCCCGATAAATTTCTTGTCGTATAACCGACATCTGGTGTCCAAACGAGCGTACGAACAAGTGTACACAAGAGGGGTGGTAGTGTTTGTCAGTTTCTTTATCACATAGAGCTTGGTGGATGAACTAAGACTGAACACCCCCATCTACAACACGTGAGTACGGTGGGAATGGATCAGAGTGTGTGTAAAGCTGCTAAGTTCCAACTATACACATGAATAGATCTGATAGGGATCAAACTGAAGGACATCTTGAAGAGAATCCCAGGGCACTCATGGGACGGCTTTGGACTGCCCGTCTCCTGCTTACCATACTATTGATCTACGCACAGGGATAGTGAGGAACCTCGCTACCTGTCACGGTAGTTGGCATGAACTTCACGTTTTTCACTACGCCTTCGTCCCAGGGCTTAACAACCTATGTCTTTCAGCCAGTGTCCTCGGTAGCTTGGTAGAGCATACGTTTGGCCGGCGCGAATTCGGCGGTTTGAGTTCATCTTTGGGCGAGTTTTCTGATTCTTACTATGCATGCGTTTTCATTTTGGTATCACTCGAATTCTCCTCTACTTTCTAAATGTAACCATTTTAACTACAGACCTTTTACCGAAGCTGAACTTAACGTTGTAGGCAGACATTAGCAATAAGCGCTTTGATTCAGAGACGGGGAAGTAGGTTTGTTACTGCCCTCTGCCAATTCATGAAAGTAGTATTTGGCCTCGGTGACCGACACGACTGGAGGTCAAAGCAGAATATTCAGAATACGGTTATCAAGCTTTAGACCTTCAAGCATGCAGATGAACTAAAGTGCATATTCGGTGCTGTGTTAATATTTTACATCCGACTTGTTCTAGCGACTTGATAAGTCATCTGAAAGGCTCATGGCATGGAATGTTAAGCACATCAGGAATGGACTCTGGAGGCGGTCGGGAGACCAGATATTAAGAGTATTGTCTCAGGGGTAATCCGAATTCGGTCAGATGATGCTTCTTGCTTGTTTTTTGAGGTTGTAGGTTTTTAGACACTAATTTCCTATCGACTGTAAACAAGATGTTTTCGAGAAATGCACTCATTTGCAAATCAATTTGGTTTTCATGAGAGACTTAACTGAATCTCTCGTTTATGTTATTCTACAACTGAATGTGCTGCACACAGGCTGCCTCATGTATCAGCTGGCACGGTATTCGAGATATCGCAGTATATTTCCATGAGGGAAACTACCCACGACCGGTTTCGCCCCTATAGGTTCATCAGGTAGGCGGCCGGTGTGCAGCACATTCAGTTGTAGAATATCATAAACGAGAGATTCAGTTGAGTCTCTTGTGAAAATCACATTGATTTGTAAATGAGTGTATTTCTAGAGAACAGTCTAATTGAGGTTCAGGTAGAACATAAGGTTGACGGAAACTCGGGGACTGTGCCTACCTGATGAGTCCAAAGAAGGGCAAAACTGGTCGTGGGCTGTCGGAGTGTTTTAAGATGCTTCGTGAGTAGTTTCCTTTATGAAAATGGACAAAATATTGTTCATATCACTTGTATAGTCCGTCTTACTCATCAAGACGATTTGAGCTCTCATACCTGGCTTAGACAGTAAAGCCTTATCATTCGCATGCAAGCGTTGAGATCTTTAACAAGCAAAGGACAAACAACACGTCGCTCAAGACTGATTGAGACACTGAAAACATAGGTCGACATAGGTCGGCATTTAGTTTTCAAGATGTAACCAACTCAGTTAACTAACAATAATGTAAGCCCTCAAAATCTAATTTCAGTTTAAATTGACTGTTCAAATTATGACCAGAGTGATAAAATGACAGCAAGGTCCAAACATAAAATAGTCAGTATTAATAGGAAAGAAATCCTTGGCTGATGAGAATGCGGTTGTGGACTTCAAAATGGCAAGGCCTGTAGTGACCCAGTCACCCACATACTTGACTGTTCAACTCACAGTCGCTCACTGGATCGCGAGGCTTGTCTTTTTTCTCATACGCACAAACACGTCGCATTAAGCTGACTCATCGGACATCGATTGTCTGCACCGCCTAGTCAGCGTAGCAACTACTCATGTGCCGACGCGCCCACGAACACTCACTGGGACCTACATGTAGGGAAACCGAGCCCAGTCAGGACACACAGACTCGCGCGCGCTCAGGGAGCAGGACGCCAACCTCTCCGCAAGTCCACGGACAACCATGGGGTACGTGTAGCAGTCGAACTGCGGAGAAAAACACGTTCCCGCTGTCCGGAATTCCACCAAGGGACTCTCATATACTATAAGTTCCCTTTTTGAATTGCTCCCATTCTCGTACTGTATTTATTTTTATACGTGTCGCAGAAATACTAAGAACTTCTATTAGTGCACACATACACCTTTTGATTTGTATTATGACTGTCACTACCTGTGCACTAATAGGCCCACCATTGAATGGGCCTCTCCTGGTGGATCACTGTGATTGGATAGTCCTCCAGAACAGCTAGCTTAACCGCACAAAATCCCTAACCCCACTTTTCTCTTTCCGAATGCACTTCTCGTGAGTTACTTCATGCTGCAGTTCCCTTCAAAATTGAACAACAAAAGAACCATGACATTGCTTTCATATCTAAGAGAGATCAAAGTTTTAATAATCTAGTAGACAACTACAGAACCAAATTTTTCAGTTTTAAGAGTGAATAAGACAACTAGGATTGCATGTTTTTTTTTCGATGCACAAGGACCTTTTCTGTTGTTAGTTGATCAACGAGTGTGTAATAATCCACCCGAAGAGCAAACACCAGTCTGGAAAGTCTTTTTTGACTTCCCACGCTGGTGTCTTCCATTCGACCTAAGATCGTAATTGACGCCCGTTTGGTCTTGGCAGGGAAATGGCTTCTATTCAGGGGATTCTATCGTGATCAGTTTCGTTATATAGTTTCGTCCGCTCTTTTTGGACCGGAACTTTCTTACCTTGGATGGATGAGACAATCAGAAGTGTTGAATGATCAACTTTTCATTTGTTTCACCAACATGGTCTGACCGCACAATTCGGAATGACTTTGGCCCTTTTCAAAGCACGGATTACAAGATGTGGTGACCGTCTGCATGAAAAACCAACTACCAGATCAGTTCGAAAATGAAGTAGAGGTAATTTAAATATTGATCATTCTGGAGCCTTTTCACCACCCGGTACGTCACAATGGTTATCCATGCACAAAATCAGAACTCAGATCATTCATGCGGGACCGTTGAAAAATACAAAAGATCGGTTACGCATCAATACATTGGATTCTCAGGCCAACATGAATAGATGTGATCAGTTCTGTACATGTGGGTCAAACGAAGTCTCTAAATTGAATTAATTTGGTACTGCAAACACGGTTCTAGGCGTAAAAAAGTTATGCCCTCAACTGGCTACTTAAAATTCATGGTTCAAACAAAAAAGCATGTGATATGGCTGGCGGTAGACTTGAATTCTAACTAACTGGCTTTTATCGAGCCAACTGGCAACCGGCATGTTATCAGTCAGGCTGCCTCAGGCAACCTTCTCAGCTTGACAAAGAGAGCTTAAGTTCATGGATGAACTGATCTTATTGGCACACCCCCAAATCGTATGCGGGGAGCGCGATGGCCTTAGCTGTTGTCAAGACTCGACTGGTGCCAATTCCAAAAGCTTCATGCTTCGTGAGTCAACTAAACGGTTTTGCCTGATCAACATCAGTAGGTAGAACAGTAAGAACCACAAGAAAAATGCCTCAAACAGAAGTATGGATGATAGCATTTCCAAACTAGTTTTGTCGCTAGTGTCATTTTTCTCACATATGTGAATTCAGCTGGCTGAAGTACAAGCCTCAATTTTAGGGCCCCACTATTCGCCTTTGGCCTTCCGATTTCCAATCCTGTGTCGAATTTGAACGTGGCGTTGAACCAGTAGGATGTGAACAGTGCAGTCAGTGAAATCGATCACGTGATTAGCACGTGATAGGGACGTGACTGGTTTCTGGCTGTGGTATGGTCCGGTTCGGTGTTGTTGTCCTGACGTTCCCACGGCTGTCACACCACCAGTGAGGTCCCGCATCAAAGCATATAACCATAGCACTAATATCCTGCAGAAACGTTTAAAATAAACTGAGAGAAAAACCCAGACAATTATGTAGTATTAGAAGACTCATCCATTAAACTCGTTAAAAGATATTTCTTCTCTTGTATACTTGTCGGTTCCCAAAGATATCTCTCTTTCGGGACCGCATGGCGTTAGCCCAAAACCAGACCACAACCACGGGTTATCGCATAGCAAAGTCACCACAAAATACCGCCTGTCATATAGCCAGACTGCTCAATATCTGTGATTTGGAAACCTCATCGGAATACACCAGCATATAGTTCACCTTTGGCATCCGTGTTTTTCTAACTGATGACTCAAGTGTGCACGATGCAAACGAAAAGATAGAGTTTTTGGACAAGAGAATCCTCAGCTTGTCAATCTGTTTAGCTGTTTCTCACTTAAACTGCCACGTTTACTTTCTAACTTAGCTCATTTCTTTATGAAATTATTTGTAATATTCGTAAAACATGGGCGTATTAGATTCACAGAATACCGTGGTTATTCTCTTTCTTAAAAACATAGTGACCACATATCGATTTCTGGGTGTATACTAAAAAGAGGGTAAGAAGGATAACTGCAAAAGGCACACCTAGACTGAGATTAGTAAGACTGTGTGTTAGCTCTCTCAGCGACACGTTAAGATGAAGCTAAAACAGGATTCGCAGAGAAAACCGTTGGACAGAAGAACCGATATTTTTCATTTATCAAACACGAGTGCTAGTGACATTTTTCCCCGGGGTAGAAGGTCTTTGTTGCCTTAATAACCACTAGGTTTTCGCTCACAAAGTATGTTCAGATACCCCCCCTCTCAAAATTTGTAATCCTTAAGCCAACGACTCCTGCTGTGTCCGAAAACAATATGTTTACGAATCTAGATGGTCTGTTTCAGTCACGCAAACTGATGAGTGGTATCAGTTCGGTTTTTATGAAAAAATACCCTATGCAACTAAGTTGTCTTTTTGTTGTTTGTTACGCGTAAACTTACGTTTATCATATGAAACTATTAGTTTTTTCACAACGGTCAGAGTATTTGAGTTAGCTGTTCTACTTTGTAATGTTACAAGCCTCTGGATGCTTGAAACCGGTGAATTCAGCCCAACTGGTTCCACCTTATTAGACTCAGAGGTAGTTCAAAAAATTTCAAAAAGTTGGATACCAAGACACCGCAGCTCATCCGGGACTTGACGTTTATCTTGAGTCTACATATGTAAAAAAAACTTTGCAGCTATTTGACCATTAGTTCTGCAAGTAATGCTCGGGAATGCTGAAGGAGATAAACATGACGGGAAAGCTAGGAAAAAGTGCATAATAACGCCTTGAAGAAGGATTAAAGAAGGTCGGTCAGTAAACGAATTCGAAGCAGTTTAATTTGGTCTAGCATTCTCTTTGTGTTTTTTCAATCATACCCTCAAAACAGAACAAAGGTTGACAGTTTTATTTGAAGATCCATCCGAATTGAAGCCCCGCCAGAATGGGGGCTACAAACTGCATTACGCCAGAAGACAGGAAGTCAGAGGATAAGTGCTCTTTGGTCTCTCATTGGGACGAACATTCCTGAGCTTTGATGTACCTTTCTTCCTCTGAGGACCACCCTAAGCAAATCAGGGATTGTTATTGCTTCACTTTCCCCTCACTTCTACAGCACAAAGACACTTATGGGGGAGACTACTCACAAGGTTGCTGAAAATTATTCGACAGCCCACGACCAGTTTCGCCCTTCTGTTTCGGGCTCACCAGGCGGGCGCAGACCCCGAGTTGCCAACCGAAACATGGGGCAGCCTGTTTGCAGCACATTCAGTTGTAGAATATCATAAACGAGAGGTTCAGTTGAGTCTCTCGTGAAAACCAAATTGATTTGCAAATGAGTGTATTTCTCGAGAATAGAGACACTTAATTTACTCAGATCAACACAAACGTCATCTTGAAGACACTTTCCGTCGTGGAGTTATCGGCTGCAAACGGAATCAGGATGTGTGACCGTGACTCAGAACGTGTAACACTTACCCTGAGACTGCAGTGTGAAAAAAAGCCCCGAGGCTTTCAGAAGAGTAACAAAGTACAAATCAACCGAGATCAGCTGATTAAGACAGCTGGATCTGGCTTGCAAATTACCGGAGACTGCTGTTGTCAAGTTGGCTAGATTTAAAACAAGTGCCTAACAAGCTCTGTCTTCGAGCATCCTCCAAACAGGATACTCATTGCAGTTAGAATATGAAATAAATTCTATCCTCAGCTCAAATATATTTCCCTTTTTCCCACCAGATGTACTTGAGATGGAAACTCTGGGACTAGGCTCACCTCCTGAGTCCCAAGGAAGGCGAGAATGTGCGCAGACATTTTTAGCTCAGAATCGTTCATCGATTTGAGACCCAGGCTACTTTGTTATACCTTGCATCAATGATAGCATAACAAGTGGTGACAAAGTAAGGGGAGAAAATGTCGGCTTGAAGTCAACTACACTCTGTGTGCTATTCCATGAATTTCATCACAGTTACTTGACACGCTGATTAACTCCAGCAACTCCGTGTTCACTCAGAAAATTCGAGTGTCGATATCTCGCTTCCGCATCAAAAGTTTCAACACACATGACACAATTGGCAAAGGCTACTTTATCAGGAAATCGCTCCGCCCATCCGCAGCGACTTTCACCGGTCTTCAAACTTTGAAGTGTCACTTGAAAGGCAAGCATTCTTCCGCCGTGCACCTCGGACGCTGAAGGCCGGTTGGGCACATGAAGAGTCCGTTTATTTGAAAAGGTTAGAACAGTTGCACAAGTCACACGGACAATGTGCTGCCTTTTACATAGTATCCGAAAAAAAGGTCTCAGCTACAGGCGTCAGGCACACGGACCTCTGAGGAACCAAGGTAGAGCCAAGATGTTCAATGCATTTTGATCAGACAATTGGTGGATTTATGAAATCTTCAGTTGAAATTTTTTCACTTGAGGCCGTAATCCCATGTAGGTGGTCTTTGAAAGAGTTTTTAATCAATGCAGCAATCAAACGAATAGAAACCATTCGTGCCGTTCAACACCCTCAGTCTTCACGAAATTCAGCTGAACAACCCATTTTACAGGAACGCGTGCAAATTGGACGTTGTCTGCTCTCCGGTGGTCATAAATCCACCAGATGATGCATGCAATCGATTGTTTTTCAATCCACAGGCGCCTGTGAAGCACTGTGTTGGATCAAACAAACACATTCCTCTTTAATTTACAAATTCTCCGGACGAATACAGTGAGTGCAAAAAAACCTTTCAACCAATAACACTGTCGCGCCTGTACCGAAATAATTCTCGTTCTATGAGAACGTATATTTTAGCACAAGTTCATCCTCAAATAATTAGTAAAGGGCACGAAAATAAATAGCAGTTGTCAAATTCGACATTTTCTGCATGCAAATACCGATGTGCTGAAAAAGACAGAATATTTGTCAACAATGGAATGAAAACAGTGGACCGTTTGCACTCCACCCTGTGGACGTCCCAGGTGGCATCCCGACAATTGATATTTTCATAGAAGAAGAGAGAATCTCACCGGTATCCCTCTTAGTCTAACAGGACAGCGTTTTCGCATTTAATTCAAATCCAATCTTCAATTAAGTTCCCCGTCTTCTGCTTTTTGACGCTTTTTCTGCCCTTTTGCATTAAATGGAACGTTGTCAGTTCTAATACCCGTGTCAGAATCGAACTGGGGACTGAAATTCAGTCGTCTTTGTTGCTCCGGTCATCTATTGCCGAGTAGTATATTGCTAAATGGCCACGAAATGTGCACCCACGGAGTGAAAATCGAGGTACGGTGGACCACCTGTGACTATGTCGTTCAGGGAATTTCGACGGAAATTCAACCATATATCAGACCAATCATGGTTTGCTTCAGTGGCCTTCGCTGGATTGCACCAAGAAAGAGATTGCTCCACTTTGTACGACCGGATCAAGGTACGGACGGAAAATACCTGTCGGCTGGGGTGCACTCCTCGTTGCGGATGAACCCATTCTGTTGCAAATACCTTAGGGACAGTGCACTTCCATTGGATACCAAGAAGTGCGGCATTTTTTAGAAGAAAGCACTTTGGTTGTTGATTCCAAGAGTACATGTCATAATTGCTTGTGACAGTCTGTACCTAGTGCCTGATAAAATTATTCAAAATGTACACTTTACCTACTTGATGTGCGCCCTAAATGACGTAGACTGGCATAACAAGACGCAACGCATTACTCACAAGGGTGCTGAAAACTCTTTGACAGCTCACAGCCAGTTTCACCCTAATTTGGGCTCGTCAGGTAGGCACAAGTCCCGAGTTTCCTGAGCTTAGGGACAGTGCACTTCCATTGGATACTAAGAAGTGCGGCATTTTTTAGAAGAAAGAACTTTGGTTGTTGATTCCAAAAGTACATGTCATAATTGTTTGTGACAGTCTGTACCCAGTGCCTGATAAAATTATCCAGAATGTACACTTTACCTCCTTGATGTGTGCACTAAATGACGTAGACTGGCATAACAAGACGCAACACATTACTCACAAGGGTGCTGAAAACTCTTTGACAGCTCACAGCCAGTTTCACCCTAATTTGGGCTCGTCAGGTAGGCACAAGTCCCGAGTTTCCTGAGCGCAAGTTAAACGAAATTCGACAAATACACACACTTCTAAACGACCTTGGTTTTCACGAGAGGCACACCTGAATACCAGCTGGATCTCTGTTTTATCATATTTTTTCTTGCATTGAACGTGCAATATCAGTTCGCCTCATGTTTAAAGTGGCACGAAATACGAGATATCGCAATGTATTGCATAGACGTAACTCGCTACTCATTACACAAGGGTGCTGAAAACTCTTTGACAGCTCACAGCCAGTTTCACCCTAATTTGGGCTCGTCAGGTAGGCACAAGTCCCGAGTTTCCTGAGCCCAAGTTAAACGAAATTCGACAAATACACACACTTCTAAATGACCTTGGTTTTCACGGGAGGCACACCTGAATAACCAAGAAGTGCGGCATTTTTTAGAAGAAAGCACTTTGGTTGTTGATTCCAAGAGTACATGTCATAATTGCTTGTGACAGTCTGTACCTAGTGCCTGATAAAATTATTCAAAATGTACACTTTACCTACTTGATGTGCGCCCTAAATGACGTAGACTGGCATAACAAGACGCAACGCATTACTCACAAGGGTGCTGAAAACTCTTTGACAGCTCACAGCCAGTTTCACCCTAATTTGGGCTCGTCAGGTAGGCACAAGTCCCGAGTTTCCTGAGCCCAAGTTAAACGAAATTCGACAAATACACACACTTCTAAATGACCTTGGTTTCCACGAGAGGCACACCTGAATACCAGCTGGATCTCTGTTTTATCATATTTTTTCTTGCATTGAACGTGCAATATCAGTTCGCCTCATGTTTAAAGTGGCACGAAATACGAGATATCGCAATGTATTGCATAGACGTAACTCGCTACTCATTAGTTGCTGAAACCTCTTCAAAAGCCCAAGACCCGCTTCCTCCCTCTTGGAGCTCGCCAGGCACGCGCAGTCTATGACGGGTTTTTCTCAACTTCATGTTCCACTTGAACATCAAAGCAGGAAATATTTTCACTGAGGGATTCAGTTGAATTTCTCGCCAACGCTGATTTGAATTACATATGAATGTGTTTAGTTACTTGAACACATTACTCACAAGGGTGCTAAAAACTCTTTGACAGCCCACAGCCAATTTTACCCTAATTTGGGCTCATCAGGTAGGCACAAGCCCCGAGTTTCCTGAGCCCAAGTTAAACGAAATTCGACAAATACACACACTTCTAAACGACCTTGGTTTTCACGGGAGGCACACCTGAATACCAGCTGGATCTCTGTTTTATCATATTTTCTCTTGCATTGAACGTGCTATATCAGTTCGCCTCACATTTAAAGTGGCACGAAATACGTGATATCGCAATGCATTGCATAGACGTAACTCGCTACCCATTAGTTGCTGAAAACTCTTCAAAAGCCCAAGACCCGTTTCCTTCCTCTTGGAGCTCATCAGTCACGCGCAGTCTACGACGGGTTTTTCTCAATTTCGTGTTCCACTTGAACATCAAAGCAGGGAATATTTTCACTGAGGGATTCAGTTGAATTTCTCGCCAACATTGATTTGAATTACATATGAATGTGTTTAGTTACTTGAAATTCGCAGGCCTTTTTTTAAACACTTCAAAACGAATTAACATAGGGTGTATACCTGTGCACTTTTCTCACTGGTTCAGATGCTGACATCGTCCAGGTACCCAGATGAAACTGAGATAAACCGAATGAGCGACCAGTACGCGTTACGGTTATGCATACCACACTGCCCATACCGCGAAAGGGTCAACCTCCAAAGACTAGCTGAAGCATAAAACTGACCATACGTTTTTAATCCCAGAACAGAAGTCCTTTGATTATAGAGCGAAAAACTGTGGTATTAGCCCTCCTTAAAGGAAGTAGTTACATGGAAGCTTGTTTCACGAAAGCATTCAGTCCACCCGGTCACTTCAAGGGTAAGTCAGCTCCGTGAACAGACCAAGCTTGTTCGAGCTCTGTGGGTGGTCTTTGGTTGACGGAATGATTGTGCTCTTGTACAAATGAATGAAAGTTAACAAACCAAGAAGGAAGGATTAACTTTATAACTGTGGAAAATATTCTTAAATACGCACACGTGCGACCGTATTCCTAAGTGGCCGATATCTTGTCTTCACGTATACGCTCATATCACGAAAGGAGTCTTTACAGCACTGGTCGCTGTTAGATAGGAATGCTGTATTTCAATCGTTTTATGTTAAGAACTCTGGAGATTTAACAGCAAGGCGTGGCCAGTATTTGAGGTTTTCTAATGCTGAGCATCTTTGGAAACTCAGACTGATAACGGCTTCT